TTTATTAAATTCTGTACTGAAAGTGACAAATGGGGGCTATATGGGTACAGAGTGGTTGTTAAGTTTATGGATTGTTTAGCTTGTGATGGCTTGGCTGGCTGGGAGCTGAGGCTTGCTACTCCAATGCCCAGCATCACAAAAGAGGCTCATACCACATATCACTGGCCCAGTAAAGGGTCAAAATTCAAAACTCCAAGCAGTTGCTACTAAATGTGTATTGTTTGCACGCCATAATATAGTTGAAAAATTATAGACCAAACCATTTAAGCTAGGGACCTTCTATAATATCCTTATTTTTCAAGTACATATATTTTGAAATTTTTTTATTGGAAATGTGCATGTAGATTGAAATTTTCAAATACTAAAAAATAGAATGCAAAGTGAAAATTTTTCATTCTCCTAAAGACTCCCCAGTCTTCTCCCAAAGAGTGAACTCTATTACTGAATTTGTGTATCTTTCCAGAAAGATTCTCTCCTCCTCCCCAACAGTGTACATAGATGATGCTATGCACACTATTAACAAGGACAGAAACATACTCTTACATACACTTTATTAAAGGCAGAAGAGTATTCCAAGGTATAGATAGATATGTACCACTTTTCACTTAGACATGTGAGCTGTTCTCAGTCACGTACAAATGCAACTATTCTCACATATTAATATTGTATATTACATGTACATGTCCATTACATGTCCATTATATTGTATATGTAATATTGTACACCTGCAGGCTACTTTCTGAAAAGATAATTGTTCAAAATATAAATGCATTTTAAAGTCTGGAAGATATTTCCAATTTGTCCTCCAAAGAGAGGGTTTTACTACCTAATCTATTAAAAGATGATCAGAGTATATTTACAAGGAGGTATATGGAAGAAGAAAGAAAATTGACTATTTTATGTACATCTTTCTCTTATGCCTCTGACAGCAAATATTCAAGACTGTAAATAAGAAATTAAATCTATAAGTGAATAAGTAATCTTGCTGAAATTAATCAGTTTAGCAAGCCATTTGAATTTGATAAATATCACTGCATGATAATTTCGATTGTTGTAAATCCATATGTACCAAACTGATCAAAAATATGCTATACTATGGTTATTTAGCTTATCAATTACATAGAGAAACAATTGAAAAAGATGACTAAATGTGTTCACCTCCAGGAGAAACTTTTCTGCTTTTAGGAATATGTGATATATATAATTTAATTTCAAAAACATTAAACATATAATTCATATCTGAAAAATGTGTTGCTTACCAAATAGGGTTGTATAGATCTTTTAGCTACACTATCACAAAAGTACTCTATTAGAGCTAATTTTGGAGGAGTCTGGAAGCTAGTATTAAATTTTATAATCTTAAGTCACCAGGTAGGCTAACTAGAAGAAATGGAAGAAAAAAATGCAAGGTCTACTTGCCTTAGATTTCAATAACGTTGGCTAGTCCCTACAAAATATCAGTACTATCACCAAAAAATTTCCTTTTTATAATCTTTTTTAAGTTACTTCATGAGAGACTATAATTCTTGACTTAGTATTTTAGTATTCTAAGGAAATCACAGAACAATACACAGACGTAATATGATGAGATATTTTAAGAAATCATTTAATATAAGAATTCATCCAAAGAGTCGATAAAACGGAAAATGACAATTCCAGGTAATAATGAATATGAATTCACAAAGATATATGGTCAATTTCAAGTGATAAGTATGCTAATTGTGGTTTGAATTTAAATTTTATTAGGGAGGTATCACACTATGTCCATAATTCACACTAATTATTGCCAAATGTATTACCATATATGAAATGCATTTATGATTATACTAGAGCATGATTAATTATAATATGCATACATATGTTCACAAATATTTAGACAAAGATTCTCAGTTTTTCACATCCAACCAATTCAATCAAATAATGTTTAATTTAATATCATGCTCTTAATTCTGGAGGGATCTCTTTGATCAATCATTGCATTTCTAGTTCCTCAAAGTGTTTATGAAATCCTGTGCATTCATTGGAGTATTATGTGAAAGCAAGTATACGTTTCCTCTGACTATATTGTTTAGTACCGACTGAAACAGACATGTTTGCTCATGTAGATGAAAGTCTTGGCTTAAATTTGATCACTGTTGCATGATTCATTTATTTGCTTTCTGGCCATAGTCAATATTCAAAGCAAATAAGAGTTCAAAGACTAGCAAACGAGGATTTTCCTTATTTCTGTGATGTTTTTCCTCCGAAGTTCTGTTTGGTCTCTGCATGTCACTGCATTTCCTCAAAATTCACTTTCCCGCAGAGCAGCTTATAGAGACACCTAGCGGTTAACCATAATGACGGCTGCTGAGGCCATCCTTCATGGGAAGTACATGGTAGAAAGTTGTCATCGCTTGTTTATTTGAACCACAAGAAATAAACTGTAATATGTTTATGTCATTGTTTCTAACAAAACTATAACTTAGATTAATTGCTACCATATTTAAAACTTTTTAGCTCAATACAGTTTATTTTTAAGTAGGAAATAAATACTTTAATTGAAAATCAAAAATTAAACCAAATACAATTTTGAAGATTTATGAAAGCAATAAAATAATTAGCTAAAACTATACTACAGCTATTTTGAAAAGTCCAATAATTGATTAAACCATGTTATACACAGAATGTCTATAGAGTTTGTCCACATCAAAAATTATGTCTGTGATAAAACTTAATATTGATATGCCAAAAGTTTCTAACTGTAAGTAATATGTAATTTTTAAAACATGACCATTTAACACATTCATTTAAAAATATAAAAACATTTCAACTTTAAAAATAAATATTCTAAAATATTTATATCATGTTAGAAAATGATGACTAAATAAAATATACAGTGTAGACTTTAGTGGATGAAGTTTAAGTTGTCTGTTTATTATATAAAGTACCTATAGCAAGTGGCTCTCATTCCCCAGCCAAATGTTTCTAAATTTACAGGAAATTCTATTATAAGATTTTACCGTATTATTCAATGATATTACAGATTACTTTGTTTCTCCCTCTCTTGTACATGCCTTGAATTTAAGCAAAATAAAATTGTTTCCAAAGTATGTATGGATTAACTGAAAAACATTTGCAAAACAGATTGAGAAAAAATTGCAAGAAATGTTGCAAAACCTCAGTAGGCTGCAATATTCACCACCTCTAGAATACTCCTTCTAATTCAACACAGAGAAGATGTGAAAAGATATGTTTGCTTATATATATATATATGTATATACATATACACACACACATATATATACACTATATAGTATACTATATATACTCTATAATCCTATACTTAATCAAGATATTATAACCACAATAGCATCCCAAACATTATCAAGGAGACAATATCAATTATGTTTAAGATGATTCCAAAAGAAAATTAATTCATAATGAATCCTAAATTAAGATAGATGAAATATTTTTAAATGGTAAAATTTCCCAATTATCATAGGCACATGTGCACTCAGCCTCCATTGGGCCACGTACTATGATCAACTTTTTTTTTTCCTATGCCCGGGAAGGACTGTAGGTCTAATATAACAAATCCAGGAAATATGCTTTATGAATGTGAAGAGCCCCCCGCCTTCTTGGGGATGGAGGTGTCTGGTTTCATCGGCAAGAGCCAGGAATACTTACTGTAGAGATGATGCGAGTAGAGTTTAGCAGGTGACTCTTCAAGAAACTCGCTTTCTATCGATACTGCATTTATTTAGGGGTCTCCAGCCTTTTAGTACACACCAAATATATTCATAAACATTCTTTCTGAGAGTCGTTAACATTCCCTTGCATCGCCCAGACATACTTATCAAACGCAATTCTTAAAATATATGTAATATACATAGAAGCGCCCTCGTTTGCAGCTAGGATGAACCACTCCCTCTTCCTTTAGAGTTAAGTACGTGAGACAGAAGCAGGTGCAGTATTACTCTAAACGGTAGGAGGAAGGCAGGCGACCAGCACAGGGCTAGCTAGCATCATCTGTCTCCGGCCACCAACAAGCCTGGCGCTGTCCGGGTTATTTCCACTCCTCCCTTTTTCAATCCAAGGACTGCACAGTCCCACGCTCGAGTTACGCACAGGTTCCAAGACTCCTCTGTCTCCCACGACTGTGACATCCAAGGGGGGCTCCGATTGCGCCGCCCGAATCCAGGGACACCTTCGCCCTCGGCTGCCACCTATCGGCCACCGCGCGCCCGCCTCGCCCCGGGCCCATCATGTCTGCTGCAGCTTGGCTCGCCCCGGCGGCGCGACAATAAACAAGTGCACTGGACGGGGCCCTGCGCCCGCGCCGGAGCAGATGTCTCAGAGGCCCCGGGGATGCTTACCCTGTTGCCGCGTCTTCAGCGCCCGGGAGGGAAGAAGCGATTGTCTCTGAGTATTTTGGAGGCGCCAGGCTGCCGGGACACGCCACAGGCGTAGAACAACGCTGTTCCTGTCCCCCCAGGCCCCCTGAAGGATGTCGGAGATAGAGAGTTCCAAATCATGACGATCGTGCGCCGCATCTGGGGAAGGGATGAGAAAAACCCCTGCAAACACCTGGGCAGTGAAACTGCCGAGAGGATGCGGGAGCCGTACAAATACTAATTAGGGGCCGCCACGGCCGTGGACTCGGAGAGGGGACCGCGGCGGCGGGAGCCCAGCGTGGTGGTCGCCGCCGCGCGGGGGGCGGAGGACGGCGCGGGAGCCGCAGCAGCCCCGGGAGTCGCCAAGGGGCCGATGCCACCTCTGCTCGCCCCCTCACTACCATGTACAGTGTTCGCTGCAAGAAGAAGGCGGGCGATGCATGCACACCCCCGCGCCCCGCTCCCTCTGGCTAGTCCCCAGGCGCGCGCCACTGACCAGGGGGAAATGTGGTGAAGACGGCGAGGAGGAGAGCCGAGGGGGGAGGGGAGGGGCGGCCGGAGCGAACCCAGGCCGGAGGGTGCGTGGAGCCGGAGGCTGCTGGAGGGGGCGGCGGCGGCTGCTGCCGGCTTGGAGAAAGTTGCCCCTTATGCAGATGGCAACTGTAAGTACCCGCCCGGGGAGCGCCGCGAGGGGTGCCTGGGACCCCGCGACCGCGCGCTGGCGCGGGTGGGAACGCGTGTGCGAGCGAGCGTGAGTGTGAGCGGCTGCGCCCGCTCGGCGGGGCTGACCGGCACTTTGGGGGGGCCGGCGGTGCCTGCCAGCCCTCACGGCCCCCCCCCGGGTTCCGCGCCTTCCCCCGCCCCAACAGCTCGCTCCCCGCCCCGCCCGGCGCCGGCTCGCGGCCCCTACCGCCGGGCGCCTCCACCGCCGGTCCTCCGCCGCCCCCTCCTCCCTTCCCCGCCGGCCGCTCGCGATCGCCCCCTTCTGCCCCCCCCCACCCCGCTGCCCGCTTTGACGACCGCGGAGATTGCCGGGGACAGCCGTGTGGGGAGCCCCGGAACCCGCGGTCGCCACCGCGGCGGCGGCGGCCCCGGGCTGGCGGCGTCCGGGAGCCGCTTCCCTCCGGCCGCTCGGACCGCGCAGCTCGCCGCCTTCCTGCCCTGCCTGGGCTCCGGGAGGCCAGTGCACACCCCAGAGAGGTCTTTTTTTATAGGGGCGGCTAAGATGAGCGGGCCCTGGAGATGTGAAACGGGGTAAGTCTACCGTTTACTTTGAGAAAGAGGCTGGTGTGTGTGAGCCTGTGTGTGTGTGTGTGTGTGCGTGTGTGTGAGCGTGTGTGTGTGTGTGTGTGTGTGTGTGGCGGCGGGATGGCTTGCATTCCCTCCCCTCCCTCCCCTCCTTCCTTCCCGTTCCCTCGCTTTGCTTCGGGGCGGAGTGGGGGCAGGGCGCCTCGCGTCCGGGAACTCCGGGTGCTCTGCCCGGGCCGCTGTGGGAGCAGCTGTGCGCAGAGCCGCGGGCCGGGCCTGGGTGCTGGGCTCCAGCCACGCAGCCCCGTTCTGTTGAATGCAGGGATGGGCAGGGCGACGGTCTAGGGTCTACGTTCCTCGGGGCAAACAAATACAGTTCCTCCGCCCCCGTCCTCAAAAAAAAAAAAAAAAAAAAATCAGATAATCCGAGAATGTGCAACGCACCCGCGAATTTACATCGGAGGTGCGTTTCCCAGTCAGAATGTCAGCCCTCTCCGGCTCATTCAACTTTATTTTCTCAAAGGTTCGGGTTCCTTTGGTGGCAAGGGGGAGGGGGAGGAGAGTGGGGTGCGAGGAGGCTCTTCGACCCCGGCTACCCAGGACTGAATTAAAGTTGTAAACGCTCGAGTTTAACGCCGGCTGGACACAATTTGCGATGGGCTGTCTGAGAGGCTGGGAGGTGAAGGGGGGCGGGGAAGACGAGGAAGGAGGGGGAGGGGACCCAATCCCCGCTGAATGGATGTGCAAATTTCCTCCCGTAGAGAGCTGAAATTTCAAGGTAAACGTTTTGCTTTCCATAGGGGGTGTTTTTGCCGCTTTTAAGCTAGGAGGCGTCTGCGGTTGCGTTGGGAGGTCGGAGATACTTGCGAGGCTTACACGCTGTGATTCGGATTCGTCTCCGCACGTCTGGGTGGCCACACGTGAACGATTCTCAGGCACACTTGCACACGTGCGTGCGAATGCAGGGGCTCTTAATAAAGCGGGCTGGAGGCGGCCGGGGGAGCGAGGCTTGAACGCGTGACTCGGACACGTCTTGGCTTTAGTTTGGTTTGCGATTCGACCTCAGACTTCGGTGGTGCCGAGGCGAAGGCAAGGTTGACTGGAGAAAACGAATGGGTTCCCAGAGCCCAGCGTTTTTACCCAATTCCCGCCTCACCCCCGCCCCCCCGCCCCCGTCGCAGCCAACACAACACGCACTCACACACTCACACACTCTATTTTTTTTTTTTCTTTTCCATTCTGAGTACCGCTGTCGACCCGAAGTAGGAAGTCCAAGGAAGCCTTTCAGAGGACAAAAAGAAATCCATAAAGAAGAGGGGGAGGGGGTAGATTGATTCCTGGAGGAGATGAAATTCGGATATCAAAGCGCAGACCTATGTCACTTGCTGTTCTTCTTCCCTTTCTATTTTGCCTGTTAATCAGCCTGAGTGCCTTTTTCTCCGTGGGGGGGCGGGGGGGGTGGGAAGAAGAAGAAGAGGAAATTAACAAAGGAAGAAGAGTAAAACATTGAGAATGAAATGTAATAAACAAGTCCAAAGACGATGGGGGTGCCGGTGAGGGGCTAGTTCGGTCCACATTTGCTAATTCCGTAGCGTGAGTGTTACATTCGTGGCAAAGCGACGCGGAGCGGGCGGTAAGGGAGGCTCTGGCGCTGGTCCTGGGTTTACTTTGAGCTGATTCCCGGGAAGCGGCCGGAACGTCCTCCTGAAACTCCAGGTACCGGGAGCTGTTCCGGGATTGCGGATGCCTTCGCTGAGTTCTTTGTAATCCATCGTGCGGAACTATTTCTGTGGCTTAAAGATGCGGTTCGGGAGCGTCGCTGACATGATCAATGAGGAGAAGTGGACTCAGGGCGCCCTCAGAGAAGCGCTGCTAAGTGGCTCCGTGCATGCAATTAGGACGCTGATGTGCTTTAAAGCGAGGTGGTGAAGTCCACCATCAAAGGGACGCGCTCTCCTTTTTCTCCACACTCAAAGCTCCTGAAGACAATCGGTGATTTAAGGGCTTCTTCTGGGTCCTTTTGATGCATTATCTTACATCTCTTTTTTGCCTCTGAAAAGTATTCTTTAGGTTCCCACCCTGGCATTTCCAGCGACGGTTTAAAATAGCCCAAGTATTGTGACTCCTTGCTTTTCTGTGCAAATGGGAGACCTTCACGGTGAACTGTTCACTGAGGAGGTTCTGAAAGAAAGGCAGACAGGTTTGCTATAGGTGAGGTTGAGAATCTTGTAAAATGGAGCTTCTTTTCTCTTAAATTAGAGCCATGAAACTGAACTGACAGCCATTTTATGTATATTTATGGATTGGTTTTGAAAAGCCGGGGGGGGGGGTGAGCAGGGAAAACACTAAAATGGGACTTTATCTAACCTGCCCTTAGCTGGCAAAGGGCAGCATGTTCCTGCTGTACTCATTAGGAAATTAAATCAGCCTTTAAATCAAAATGAATATCAGATATTAATAAAGTCTGGAGAATGTCGGTGTTCCATTGGGGAGGGTGTCATTCATATCCCCTCCTTCTGGATTTCAGAGACATAGTAGTAGGGAAGAGAGAGACTTTCTTACCGGTCCCTTAAATTTTTGTCATATTCTGTTCTTTCCCTTTCTCCTTTCTCCCCTGCAGGAGGTAAAATGCACACTTGCTGCCCCCCAGTAACTCTGGAACAGGACCTTCACAGAAAAATGCATAGCTGGATGCTGCAGAGTCTAGCGTTTGCTCTAACATCTCTCGTCCTTTCGTGTGCAGAAACCATCGATTACTATGGGGAAATCTGTGACAATGCATGTCCTTGTGAGGAAAAGGACGGCATTTTAACTGTGAGCTGTGAAAACCGGGGGATCATCAGCCTCTCTGAAATTAGCCCTCCTCGCTTCCCAGTCTACCACCTCCTGCTGTCTGGAAACCTTTTGAACCGTCTCTACCCCAATGAGTTTGTCAATTACACCGGGGCTTCAATTCTGCATCTGGGTAGCAACGTGATCCAGGACATTGAGACTGGGGCTTTCCATGGGCTGCGGGGTTTAAGGAGATTGCACCTGAACAATAATAAACTGGAACTTCTTCGCGATGATACCTTCCTCGGCCTGGAGAGCCTGGAGTACCTACAGGTCGATTACAATTACATCAGTGTCATTGAACCCAATGCTTTTGGGAAACTGCATTTATTGCAGGTGCTTATCCTCAATGACAATCTCTTGTCCAGTTTACCCAACAACCTTTTCCGTTTTGTGCCCTTAACGCACTTGGACCTGCGGGGGAACCGGCTGAAACTTCTGCCCTACGTAGGGCTGTTGCAGCACATGGATAAAGTTGTGGAGTTACAGCTGGAAGAAAACCCCTGGAATTGCTCCTGTGAGCTGATCTCTCTCAAGGATTGGCTGGACAGCATCTCCTACTCGGCCCTGGTGGGGGATGTGGTTTGCGAGACCCCCTTCCGCTTACACGGCCGGGATTTGGACGAGGTGTCCAAGCAGGAACTTTGCCCAAGGAAACTTATTTCAGACTATGAGATGAGGCCACAGACGCCTTTGAGCACCACGGGGTATCTTCACACTACCCCAGCCTCGGTGAATTCCGTGGCCACTTCTTCCTCCGCTGTTTACAAACCCCCCTTAAAGCCCCCTAAGGGGACCCGCCAACCCAACAAGCCCAGAGTGCGCCCCACCTCTCGGCAGCCCTCCAAGGACTTGGGCTACAGCAACTATGGCCCCAGCATCGCCTACCAGACCAAATCTCCGGTGCCTTTGGAGTGTCCCACCGCGTGCACTTGCAACCTACAAATCTCCGACCTGGGCCTCAACGTCAACTGCCAGGAGCGCAAAATCGAGAGCATCGCGGAGCTGCAGCCCAAGCCCTACAACCCCAAGAAGATGTATCTGACGGAGAATTACATTGCGGTTGTGCGCAGGAGCGACTTCCTGGAGGCGACGGGGCTGGACCTCCTACACCTGGGCAACAACCGCATTTCCATGATCCAGGACCGCGCTTTCGGGGATCTCACCAACCTGAGGCGCCTCTACCTAAACGGCAACAGGATTGAGAGGCTGAGCCCGGAGCTGTTCTATGGCCTGCAGAGCCTGCAGTATCTCTTCCTCCAGTACAATCTCATACGCGAGATCCAGTCGGGGACTTTTGATCCGGTCCCCAACCTCCAGCTGCTATTTCTGAATAACAACCTCCTGCAGACCATGCCCTCGGGCGTCTTCTCAGGCCTGACCCTTCTCAGGCTGAACCTAAGGAGTAACCATTTCACCTCCTTGCCCGTGAGTGGAGTTCTGGACCAGCTCAAGTCACTCATCCAAATCGACCTGCATGACAATCCGTGGGATTGTACGTGCGACGTGGTGGGCATGAAGCTGTGGGTCGAGCAGCTCAAAGTGGGTGTCTTGGTGGACGAGGTCATCTGCAAGGCGCCCAAGAAGTTCGCGGAGACCGACATGCGCGCCATCAAGTCGGAGCTGCTGTGTCCAGACTACTCCGACGTCGTGGTTTCCACGCCCACGCCCTCCTCCGCCCAGGTCCCGGCGAGGACCGGCGCGGCCACCCCCGCGGTGCGGCTGAACAGCACCGGGGCCCCCGCGGGCTTGGGCGCGGGCGGAGGGGCGTCGTCGGTGCCCCTGTCGGTGCTGATTCTCAGCCTGCTGCTGGTGTTTATCATGTCCGTCTTCGTGGCCGCCGGCCTCTTCGTGTTGGTTATGAAGCGCAGGAAGAAGAGCCAGAGCGACCACACGAGCACCAACAATTCCGACGTGAGCTCCTTCAACATGCAGTACAGCGTGTACGGCGGCGGCGGCGGCGGCGGCGGCGGCGGCGCGGGGGGCCACGCGCACGCGCACGCGCACCACCGCGGGCCCGCGCTGCCCAAGGTGAAGACGCCCGCGGGCCACGTGTACGAGTACATCCCCCACCCGCTGGGCCACATGTGCAAAAACCCCATCTACCGCTCCCGGGAGGGCAACTCCGTGGAGGATTACAAAGACCTGCACGAGCTCAAGGTCACCTACGGCGGCAACCACCACCTGCAGCAGCCGCCGCCGCCGCCGCCGCCGCCGCCGCAGCCGCAGCCCCCGCCGCCGCTGCAGCTGCAGCCCGGGGACGAGGAGAGGCCGGAAGGCCGCCACTTGCGGAGTCCCGCCTACAGCGTCAGCACCATCGAGCCCCGGGAGGACCTGCTGTCGCCGGTGCAGGACGCCGACCGCTTTTACAGGGGCATTTTAGAACCAGACAAACACTGCTCCACCACCCCCGCCGGCAACAGCCTCCCGGAATATCCCAAATTCCCGTGCAGCCCGGCTGCTTACACATTCTCCCCCAACTATGACCTGAGACGCCCCCATCAGTATTTGCACCCGGGGGCCGGGGACAGCAGGCTGCGGGATCCGGTGCTCTACAGCCCCCCCAGCGCGGTCTTTGTAGAACCCAACCGGAACGAGTACCTGGAGTTAAAAGCAAAACTAAACGTTGAGCCGGACTACCTCGAAGTGCTGGAAAAACAGACCACATTTAGCCAGTTCTAAAAGCAGAGAAACTCCCCGGGAGCTTTTGCGTTTAAAACAAGCAAGCAAGCCGACACACACGGCGAACACACTTGATCAGTTGTGTTGTTTCGACGTTTAGGGTGAAGTGCCTTGGCACGAGATTCTCAGCTTCGGCGGAAGATACTGGAAGGGTGTGCGATTTCCTTTTCGTTTTTACACGTGGGGGAAACGTTTGTGTAAACTGGGCACATCACTTTCTCTTCTTGCGTGTGGGGGAGAGGAGGGGACGGGTTTATGGAGGGCAGTTTGCTGCGCAGGTGACTTGTTCTTGCAGTGGTTGAAAGTGCTCTAAGAATGGTGAAAGAAGGCGGCGCATAGATTCTACTCTGTCTTTTTTTTCCTCTCCCTCCTCTTCTTCCCCCTCCCCTTTAAGCCATGGGTGGGTCTAAATGGCTTTTGTGGAGAGATTAGCACACCCCGACTTTAATAGAAAGTTTGTTCTCTCTTTGTCTTTCCCAGCCCCCACCTCTCTCTTTCCCTGTCGCCCTGCCTCCCTCCCTCCCTCCTATCTCATTACTTTTCTTTTTAAGGGATGTGTTTGTATGCATTCTGGACATTTGAATTAAAAAACAAAAGTATTGTGATCTGGAAAATGATCACCATAGATGTGGACAAATCATTAAAATTACAGAGCTATATGATCCATAATTGATTAGTCAAAATAACTTATTGATGAAATATACAAATATTTTATTGTAGCACCTATTTTTATATACACATTTAGCATTTCTCTTTCCTTCACTATTTAGCCTATGATTTTCACAGAGGTGTCACACTATATTAGGACCTGCATTTCCGAAACTGGAGTGATATCAGAAAGGCATTTTAAATCATTAAAAATATGGAGAGCTTAATGGGAAAATCTTAAAGCCAATGCAACCCACCCGACTGAATCTGTAATTTAAAACGGAAAAAGTGGATTGTATCCCAGTGTGTAAAAGAAAAAAAAATAATAGGGCAATTAATTGGGCCATTCGAGTAAGAATCATGTGCAAGTTTCTGGTTTTATTAGAGAAGACTTAAAAGTATTTTTATTAGTCAACCAAAATGATGTATTGATTTGACTACTATTGTAGCCGATTTTTGATTGTTTAACCAAACTCAGTTGCATTTGTACAGATCCACATGTCCTGGCACCTCAGAAGACCAACTGATGGACTGTGCAAATCTCTAGACAATGTCTTTATCCCTCTGGGCAGCAAGCAATGATGATGGCCGCAAACAGGGGCTACTGTTGTTACAGTCTCATATGTATCCCAGCACATGTAATTTTTTAAATAGTTTCTGAATAAACACTTGATAACTATGTCAAAATATGAGGGACTGAAGTAATGATTACTTAAGGTGCAGAAGAAATAGTTATGTGTGATCAACTGAATCGCCATTATAAACAATTAGGACATAGTAGCTAACTTTTATTCCTAATATAAAAAAATTCCCCTAATTATCAAATTTAAATATATGTATATATGTAAAATTCGCCTTTGCAAATTCAGGGAATTATGTTTTTCTAAAGGTGGCATTAATGTGTTTATTAATGAAATTTCAATGGTATACTTTCTTTCCTTACTGAGGTTTACATCTAATACATGGACCGTGGTAAGTAATATATTGCCTATTCATTTTTCTCCCAATGATATATATTTTGTTATGTCAGTATTATTTATTCAGTCTACAGTGCTCACAGTTTCCTGATTTCCCCATATTACCATAGTTTTCCTAATTTTAACATGTGTAAAACTACCTTCAACAATTATAAAGGATACTTTATCTCAAGTTGATCTATATCCTAAATGTCAGAAATGTTGGTAAATATGAGCTGTTCACCTCTGAGGAATGTTTGCCAATGAATCTAGGTTAATAGATAAGGGTAGGAAATGTTTGAATTAATCTGAAACTTAAAGAGCCATGTGCTTCATCGCTATTGGTGGATCTTCCCATAATCTCACCTGAAATGTGTAAAATATCAAGGGCTGTTCATGAACTTTCTGTTTAAGGAACACTTTCCATGGCATTCTGCCACAGAGAGGCAGCATTCACCCATGAGTAAATTGACAGTAACTGCTTGAATTCAGATTGAACAGGTGGTAACAATTTCCCTGAGGAATTAAAAAAAAAAAGTAGTAATGCTTATATCGGTCAAGTGAAGTAAACTATCCCCATTCTGTGCAACATTTTTCCTTCCAAAAATTTTTTTCAAAGGGGAAAGGAACAAGCTTAATAATGCCATGATATTATCATGAAAAAGAAAAAAAAAAAACAGTACCTTACTCTTCATCTACCTCCTCCATATTTAATCCAAGATTATAAAAGAAAAATAAATTATAGCGTTTGACTTCACAATGGGGCGGTTATTAATTTTTCTTCACAGTGGAAGTTATTTTTACAATGTCCAAATCACTTCCTCAATATTATTATATGTAGATATGACAGTATTGTATAAATTATAAACTATAAATACAAAGTGGAATCTTCAATGTAAGTTTTATTTCTTAATTGATGCATAAAAAGTGAGAGATAAGAATTACATAAAATTCAAAATGTGGTTCTGAACGATATAAGTAGTCTCCAAGGAAGGTTTGTTGATGCATTTTTCAAAGATTTACAAAATGATGTTATTAATTCAAACCAGCTCTATTGCCCATTATCTTGTCACAAAGCCTTTCTTTAGGTAGCTCATTTCTACTTCTACTCTTCCTAAGGTGTCCAGCCTTTTATTTTAATTTCAAAAATAACAGTTATATGTTTATGAAAACAGGTTACTTCTAATTTTTAAATTATCTTTTTCCCCAATTGTATTTAGGGGATAAAAGTAAATTCATTCCTGCTCTAATAAACTTGAAAATTTTTAACATGTAGAGTTATGAAACTGTGTAGAATATAAAAATGAATTCTTTCTCCTTATACACGGTGTCCAGCCAATGTATTAACATATACAATAGAACACAAGTTGTGTGGTTTTGAATATTTTAATTTTTGGTTTTTCAGGTTGTTCACTGAGTAAATAATTAAATTGGGTCTATCAGCAGTATATGATTGGATTAAGGAACCCTGCAAATTCTCTCCGTAGCATTTTGGTGAACAATATGTAATGTTTCAGGCATCAATTAAAATTTGGATGCAAACTAAGCTTACTCTTCGTGCTTGCTCCATTTGATATGTTGCATAATCTCATACAAATATATTTCCAAATCGACATTACAAAATCTTATTTTTATCTATATATGAACATAGTGTAAATACTTAAATTATCTCAGAGAAAGTAAATATATTCTATGTAAATGTGATAATTGGTATGCTCGCTTGCATTCAAAATTATTTACAGCTAAACTGTTGATTGAAGTTATGTGTTAATCAACGTTAGCGTAAATATACTTGGAATACATCTTTTGTTTAGGCAAGAGTATCACCTTTACACATGTGAAGTGTGAAATTTGGGTAAATGTCCTGGGTATTCAGGTCTGTCCTTCAACTACTGTTAGCTCAACCTCAGTAGGAAAATCAAATTATGTGCAATGAAAACATCCACGCATAATGTGGAAAAGGTTAGAACTTAAGAACATAATTTAAGATACCAGTTTATTGCCCTGTGTCGCAATTTCTATTCTTATTATTGATTTATGTTGTTAACAAATTATTCGTATTAAATATGTACTGTTTCTTTCCCAGTTCTATTTTTCCAGACTCTTGTCCATTTTCCTTGCATCTCCCTCCTTCCTCCCGCCTCCTCTTGTCTTATCCTTTCTTTTAATTATTTTTCAGTAGGGCAAGGGGGAGAGCGAGAATAGTTCAGTCCTTGTTTGAAATGCCAAAAACTAGCTACTTAATTTCAAGAGCTCAGTGGATTGTTCCTAGGGTCACACAACTCCAAATTAATGAAAATAAAACCAACCACAAGTATGTTTCCAATTCATTTGGGAATGTGCTCTTGCAGCACTTTTCAGGTGGCTCCAAATCAAGATATTTGCAGGGGGTGGCAAAACAGTTACTATAACTAATTTTAAGACTAACATAAAAACAGAAAGAAGAACTAAAAACAACAAAAGAACTGATTTAAATGTTGGATGGAAGCATTTAATTAATTGATTTTCAAAGGGAATAAGAAGTTGTTAAAAGGTAATCAAACTGTTATCAAATTAACAATTTCACTTATGGATTAAGTTCCTCAAACCTCTCAAAGTTCTCTACTTTCTTGTAAATGCAAATATATGTATTTTTGTACATACAAAATTAAAGAAGGTAGGTGGGCAATAGTCCACCAAAAAAAATATCTGACATCTATATCCAAAGGAATCTTATGTCATTGAGTATTGCATTGGCAACTGTGCATTTTATCATTAATTTTATTTTAATTCAAATTAGTGCCTTTCTATGATCATCCATTGATAGTTCCATCAGTTCATGTAGCATGTGTATGGCATACAAAAATACATCTTATCCAAAAGAGCACTGCATACTTAATTTTCAGCTGGAGTTCTTTATATTTCAATTTTTTACATTATTTCAAATTCTACTTTTATGGTCTATGCTTTAGGCATGTTAGACTGGGGGAAAGAAAATGATTTCATGCAGTATAATGTTTCAGTGTGACTATAGTATAATACTCTTTTCTTCCTCTGTTTATAGCAGACTATTTGGCTTACAAGACACAGGTCAAATATTTCTCATGGTAATTGTAACAGTATTATAAAATGAATAATTTTATACTCATTTTTTAAAGGAACTATATTTAACCTTGATTAAGTTTAAGAGTGATTTAGATTACATCTTAAAAATTTTCTGAAGATCAAAACATAAATATTTCATAAAGAATTGATGTAATGCAAGTATGAAATCATTTTACTTTCTCATTTTCTATTTACTGTCAAAATTAAAATGTAATGATATATTGCATAATGCTAAGTATATCAGATACATTTTTATTGGATATTAGGAAATTTGTTTTATAAAAGAGAAATAATGTTCATAGTGATATGTTGAATGCAAGTCTTCCAAAGCATTTTTCTTTTAATTAGGTATCTTTATCAGAACATGAAGGAGTATTGTATATTTATACTACAAAATAAACATGTACATGTCTAAAAATTACATGTGTTTCTAAAAGTAAAAATTATGAAACAATGTTATCCAGGATAAATTGTTTTCTTTTTAAAATTTAACCTATTCAGAAATGGAATTGTGGCTTTATTGAATTGAAGGCTCGTTAATGTCTTGGCCTACTTACTTTAGCCAAACTTATTTAGAGATCATTTTCAACATATCATGATATAAATTAAATTCAAATTTAATTGTGATCAATACTGAATCATATATATATACAAGTCAGAAAATTTGGTGACTTTTCAGTGTTCTGGAATATGCACTGTAGATTTTCTTACAAATTTACTTCAACCATCAATAATAATTTCTTGTAGTTACAACTAACCTAGTTTTAAAAAATTCTACTCTATGCTTATTTAAAAATAACACTTAATATTGGATATTGAAACCAAATTTGCTATATTTTTTCAATTTCTACTTAGATATGTACCTATTTAAATAAAACATAAAGGGTAGCAGTAAATTCATGTTAGTTGATTAGCAAAGTTCTTTGTCAGATACTACAATAAAATTTTTGACCAGCATGCTTTATCCATGAGAGGTTCACCAGGCTCATGTAGACTAAGCATTTAAATATTAAATATAAATTTATGTAAAAATGCATATTTGATCAACAAAATATTTTACTTGTAATGACATATTTCTTTAAAAATCTAAGTAAAAGTTATGCTTTTTGTCATTACAACAACAGAATATTTTTACTATATTTAAGTCCAAAGTCAAAAGGTGTTTCACTTCTGAAAAAACTGGTAATGATGGGAAACATTTATCTATCAAATGTATTTAAACCCTGAGTTTTAACATCAACTTTAAATCTCCACTGCCAATTATAAAATTTACAGTACATGTTTTTCTTTATACTACTGAACTCTTCTCCTGTGAAGTACCCCTACAGGATACAAATAGCCATAGTGTTTTTTTCTTGTTTCACATTTATATTGCACATATTAAAATAAAGTTATGAACTAGCACTGTTAAGTTTCATTTCACTTAAGTAGTATCCTTCAGTTTTATAATTATCTTCAAACTTGTAGAGCTAGTGAATAGTATATTTACATAGGTACTTAGAAATGTGAGCTCTCAGATCCAGAAACTGCTCATATATGTCAGAGACTATTCTAAATCATTCACCTTCCTGTCATCTTAATTCATTCAATCAGTGCAGTGAAATTTTTGTTACCTTATTAGGATTAAGGACCCCCAAGTCTTAGATG